CATGGGGATGTATGTTTATTCAGCTCTCAGGGCAGTTGATAAAGGAAACATCTTCACACTTGTGTATTGGCTAAAATCTACATTCTAACTAATGGGAGGAGTTCTACTACTTTACTTCTACTTGCGTTGCCTAAGGGAATTCAGATGTTGCTGTGAATTCAATGACTGCCATTCTATTTAATAAAAGGGTTCTTTTGAAATACTCCATTTCAAGAGTCTTCTCTTTCTTAAATTAGGAGAGGAGCCCTTACATAAAGCAACATCTCTGCAAAACAGTCAGCCCGGAGAAGCAATATTTGCTCTACCAAGGGGACCCTGCAAACCAAGCACAACAGTGAGCAAGGGGAAGCTGAATGCTGGAGGGAGATGTCAACAAACACCCCCAAACAGAGGCCTGCTCTATGTACCCTATCGGAGAGGATGAGGTGAACCTGGAGGACCCCCAAAAGCCCCGCTGCTCAATCGGCATCAGGATAAAAGACGGCTGGGATGAGAGGACCAGAGGAGTCACCCTTACCCATGGTAAGTGAAAACTGGGGTGGAAATTGGAGCTAGAAGCCCCTTCTGACCGAGAACTAAATGAAACCTCGCTGAGAAAGGACCGTTTGAAGAGACATATAACCCAGTTGGTGGTGGTGATTTTGGAAAATCTCAACATCGGGGGAGGGAGCCAGAATGGCAGCCAAGAAGCATTGGAAGGGAAGCAGCTGTGGATGATGCCAGGGGGGGCTAACCTCCCTGGGCCCTGCTGATCAAGCAGATGGTACAGCGGCAACAGCAGGGGACCCAGCAAACTCCCTCCCCCTTGGCTTTGCTCCCAACCAACCCTGAAACCTGCAATTAGAAAGAAACCTCCTTCCCTTGGAGTGAAGTTTGATGGGAACCCGAAAAAATTGGGATTCTTTGTGGCCCATGTGCTTAACTGCATGCAAGAATATGGGCATGATTTTCAAACCCAAGGAGTGTGGGTGGTTGCCCTAGCCCTGGAAGGATGGATGGTGACCTTACATGATGCTGATGCACAAGAACTGTGACACTTTGACCACTTCATGATGGCCCTGCGAAATTTGGAGGACCCCCCTCACAGACCACAAAGCACGTGACCACATTAAAGTTGTGAAGCAGGGACAACAGTCAGTGGCAGAGTATACTGAAGAATTCCAAGACCTGGAATGTCATGTGAACTGGCCAGAGGATATCCTGGTAAGCTGGTTCAAGGATGGGCTGAGTGATGACCTCTACAATGCCTCCGAGGTGCACCAAACCACCTACATGAGTTGCCGAAGAGGCTGAGATCAACATGGCCAGGAACCAGTACTGAGCGGGGCGAGTGTGGAAGAAATTCCCACCCTAATGGAAGCAAGAACCTTTGAATCCACAAACAGCATCTTCTCCGAAACCCTCAGCCATGTTTTAAGTGTGGAAAGGAGGGGCACCGAGCTGCAGAATGATGTCCTCAAGTACCAGCTAGGAGACCAGAGTGCCCTTTGGGGGGGGGACCTACAAAACCTGGCCAGCGCGGGAAGGAGACAGCCCTGTGGAGCAGGAAGATCATAGAATCTCCATCCCCTCCCCTCTTTGAGGATGAAACCCAGGCTTCTCAACAGGAGAAACCATACTCACTCAGAAACAATCCAGATGATGAACCACTGGTAAGCAAACCCATTAAACCACTTACCCTCCCCCTAAGACTGGTTATCCCCAACTGAGAGAGGGGGATAAAAATCTCTGGTTTAGTGGACCCACTATTTGATCAGCCCAACCCTGGTAAAGAAGTTGAGGATTAATGTAAGGAAGCTGAAAAGCCCCATAGCTTTTTGCCATATAGATGGGTCAATAGCAGGGGGGAGCAGCTTCTTTTCCCTCAGAGCCTCTATAGATGCGCATTGGAAGCCATGAAGAAATGCTTACATTTATAGTGGGGCCTGGAATGGAATGGCCGCTAGTTTTGGGCCTTGCATGCCTGAAAAAATGGAACCTCAAAATTAATTTGAAGCAAGGCACCATAGAAGTTCAGATGTATGTGACTTTTGCTGAGTATCCACACCAAGAAACTGAAGGGGCAGAGCATCAAGAAACAACAATACCTGCTTACACTATGCCAACTCAGGGCATACCCAAAGAATACAAAGACTTGGCTGAGGTTTTTAGCGAAAAAGTGTCTTGATGAGCTCCCCCTCCTACCGCTCCAGTGCCAAACTTCCTAAATCCAAGATGTATAGCATGTCCCCAAGGGAGCTGGAAGAACTGAGAGCATTCATTGAGAAAAACCTAGCAAGGGTTTCATTGAGCCAGCCCGACCACAAATTGCAGTCTCAGTGTTATTTAGAGGGGAAAAAAAGATGGCTTAAATGTCTCTGTGTGGATTTTAGAAACTTAAACATGATCAGTGTGGAGAACATATACACTCTCCCCCTTATGAAAGACATGCTAGCACACCTTGCTAAAGGGAATTTTTTTTCAAAGTTGGATTTAAGGGACGCTTATTACCATATCAGAATTAAAGTGGGAGATGAATAGAAAATGGCATTTAACACCCCTTTTGGATGCTACCAATTCAAAGTGCTCCCATTTGGGATACAAGGGGCCCCTGCAGTGTTTATGCAATTAATAAACTAAGTACTACATGAGCGTTTGTATAAGGGTGTTTTGGTATATTTGGTTGATGGCATTTTACTACATACCGAGACCAAAGCAGAACATGTAAAACTAGTTCGGGCTGTTCTGAACAAACTCCGTTCTGCCAAACTTTATGCTAAACTCTTTAAATGTGAATTCCACCAAGAAAAAATTTATTATTTAGTGTACCGTATTTCACACTAGGGCATAGAAATAGATCCTTTAAAAGTACAGGCAATAGTCTCTTTTCTAAAGATTGTCCTGAGGGGGAGGGGATCCTGTCTCGTGCTGTGAATAACAGCTGCGAAGTTCAGGTCGGAGTTGAATGACTCAGCTTTGGGTCGATCCTCCCCCTCCGTCCACAGCTCACAAAAAAAAAAAAACTGTGAACTTCAAAGAAGATTCTTACCAGCTGAGATTCCTCACTGCTTTTTTCTTGTCTGAAAAAAGAGTTATCTTCTTGATATTGAGCAGATAACGAACCTGAATTCTGGGCGCAGCTCTGTTAAGCTGCCGACCGGCGACAGGCCACTCCCCGGAAGTCAATACGAGCAAAGACCAACTTGTGAACTTTAAAACCTTTTCTCTATCTGAAATACCAGCTTCAATGTTATAAAAGTACAGGCAATACACTTGGGAACCACTCATAACACGTAAACAGTTATAAACAGTTATAGAGCCGAGGTGGCGCAGTGGTTAGGGTGCGGGCAAAAACTACAGGCAAACTGAAAAATGTAACTCGGTCCTAGAACAATATCTAAGATGTTTTATTAAATTTTTAACAGGATAACTGGATTGAACTTCTTTTGCGGAAGTTCTAAAATTAATTGAGAACTTTATTTCTTTTTTTCTTACAAAAACCTTCAAAGCTTTAACAGCTGACTTTAGTTAATCCAATATAGGGTAGTTGTCCAAGTTATTTGATTTTTTGTAATTATCATGTTTAAAATTATTTTATTACATTATTTATTAAGATATCAGCTGGTTTAAGCTATATACAATTTATCATGTCCAGTAGAACATAGTTCATTTGCATAATTGTACCTATGAAGGCATATAACTCTAAAAATTAATTTTAATTTCCTTGTTGACAAATGTCCATTAAAATATTTTGCTCCATTCTTTGTTGGGTAATAAAATGTAAATGTACTTCTAATTGTAATCCTTAGTTTCTTCTGGTTTCCTTCAGTGTCCAACCTTCAAAGTCACATCCTATTATTTATTTTCAAACAGCTTGTTTGTTTTAAATTCTGAAAAAATAATAATAGGGGGAACTACTGACTACTGAGCAAGTGATCTCATATTATCATATGGAGCATTGTATGGCTTAGTTTTGGAAATGCGTAAATTTTATTTTAGGATAGAAAAATTAAAATTATTTTTACAAAATGTTATCTCATATAGAATTGGAAAAAATAGAATAAATAATTGTGGATAAATCAGTGGCTCTCTTTAAATTAGGTCAGTTAACTAAATATATATCAACTTGTGAAATGGACTATGGTCACATTTCACTTTTTGCTACTAAAGACTTCTAAACATTTTGTCTAAAAGAATGCTACACTGCCACTTCTATTCATACTGAAATATCTATCTGTTTCTTTACTGAGGATAAACATTCAGAATTTCCATTCATTTTCAATATTCACATTTGTTTACACCAATATCCTTTAGAACATTTTCCTGTTAATTATTCAACAGCCCACATAATTTCTTTCCTTCTCTATAATATTTTAGCAACTATTCAGAATAAAATCAAATTCAGATCTCTATATTTAGGAGCCAGAAGATCATTCTGTTCTCAATAGAAAGTGAAAAAAATTAACTGGATTGAATTTTAGAAGCATTGCAATGAGAAAAAATGTCAGCAAATTTATTAGTAAAGGATATTCACTCACTTTGAGACAATAGGACTAAAAGATGTTAGTTGATTAAAGAAATAAAGATGTCAAATGAGATTTGAAAGGAGATATAATCATGTGTTTGATCTATAAGGAAGACACAAGAATATGAGAATGAAATTGGGTATAAGTGTTGAAAACAGAACAAGTCAGAAAACGTCCCCCAAAGATTTTAAAAGATACAAAGTTGAAAGAAGAGATAATAAGAATTATTATCAAGTAGGCTTGATATGCTCTCTATATAATATCTGCCTAAACAAAATAGACTGAAAATGGGGTCAAAAGTACATCAGAGAGTGCAATGCCAATTTTAAAAAGAGCACTGCTTATCCAGGAAAGGAATCTTGTTAGTTAGTTGTTATTCATTGTTGAGATTTATTCATGTGGAACTTCATGCAAATGCTACGTTAACCCAAGATAGCCAGATAAACTTTTATTGAAACTATCTTTTTGTAACTCATAAAAAAATATCTGTTTGAAATATAAAAATTAACTACCTGATATGTACATAGGAACGCTTAAAATAATAATACGGTTAAAAATGATTTAAGGTTGGCAGTTTGGCAGTTCGAATCCCTAGTGCCATGTAACAAAGTGAACTCCCATTACTTGTCCCAGCTTCTGCCAACCTAGAAGTTTGAAAGCATCTAAAAATGTAAGTAGAAATAATAGGAACCACCTTTGATGGGAAGGTAACAGTGTTCTGTGTGCCTTTGGCATTTAGACATGCCAGCCACATACCACAGAGATGTCTTCGGACAGTGCTGGCTCTTCGGCTTTGAAACAGAGATAAGTACCACTCCCTAGAAATGGGAATGACTAGCATATGCGCGAGGGGAGCCTTTACCTTTACCTTTAAACATTATTAAGTCTTAATTTTGTATTTAATTAAAATTATTATGTAATATTTAGCCCTAGCAGTTCATCTATTAATAACCTGCTTGTCCTCTACTTTTCACAAGGACTGAGAAAGAACTTCATAAAATCTGAAATGTCCATATTTTTTTCTCCTTTTAAATTTTTTGCTTCAAAAGCAGCCACCAGTAACTTAATATACCATACAAGTGTTATGTCATGTATAATGTACTTCAAGAAATATTTTAAGTCTTCCTGTTACACAGCATACAAGCCTTTTGAAGGAAGTGTTTCTTCAAAACATTAAAGCAACCAAAGGTTTTTTAAGCTCATTAAGCTGTTTTGTAAACTGTCTCCACATTAGTATTCATGCCGAAACACTTGATTTTACCTATTAGAATACAATCTCAAGTGACCTTCCAAATATGACTATTATAATAAAATAATATTAATACTAACACTGTATTCCTAAAATTAAAATCCCAATTAAACTAATTTAGTTTAGAACTTTTAAAAAATGACCAAACAAACTAAAATTGGAATCGGGGAAAGTATATCGATACTAAATTCTGGTTTTAAAACTGCTGCGTAGGAATAGCAATAGCACTTAGAATTATAAACCACTTCATAGTGCTTTACAGCACTGTCTGAGTGGTTTACAATGTCAGCATATGTCACCCAAAAATCTGGGTCCTCATTTTACAAATCTTGGAAGGATTGAAGGCTCAGTCAATGGTGAGCCTGCCAGACCGCGAGCAAAGTTGGCCTGCAATACTGCATCCTAACCACTGCAGTACCAGGGCCCTGTTTAGACACATATACACACACAAAAGAAAAATTCCTTTGACACTATATGCAGGAATAGAACCCTTTATTGCAAATAAACGCAAATGCTTTATATCTTAGTCTGGTCATCAAGTGACAAAGGGTATCATTTCCCACCTAAATTTTGGAATTGGCATAACAAATTTAGGAATTTCCAACTGGTCAGAGACCAAGAATCAGCATGTCCTGAATATTTTATTAATTGAAGACAGATGAAGTGGGTTCTAGAATCTATAAAATTCACAGTAAGATAAGTAATGGGCAATGAATTTTATAGGACCTTTTCTACGTAGTCAAGAGTACAGAATACATTAAATCACTGTCATATTTATCTTGGTCTCCAATAATCCTACAAAATATATTACCAAAAGCAGTTTTTGATTCTTAAAGCAAAAAAAATCACAGGTGGTGTGTATAGCATATATATGGCAATATGTAATGCATAGTATATATGTCTTACCTTAACACACACATACGTTTTATTAAGGTAAGACATATCTACTATGCCTTAAATATTGCCATATATATATATGTGTGTGTGTGTGTGTGTGTGTGTGTGTGTGTGTGTGTGTGTGTGTGGCCTAATGGCTAAGAAGTCTGCCTAGTATTAATATAGCCCAGGTTCAAATCCCAGTAAGGGTATGGCTAGCTGATGAGAGCTAAATAGCTTGAAATAGATCTATACTAGTCTCCCTTTATTTATTTATCAGCACAAATAAAATAAAAAAATTGCATCACTAAAAACACTGAAGATATTGGAAGAAAATTTAAAGCAAGTGTTTAATATGTTGCACCCATATAGAAATTCTACTTTTTCTTTTTAAATCAATAGAAAGCTTTTTTTATAACAGAATAATACAATTGAATATTTTGTATTGTTTGTCTATTATTGAAGAGTTTAACTTTTAATTTTTCATTTTTTTATTGGTTTTGACCTGAAGATCTGCTCAATGAATTTACCTAAGACATAAAATGTTTTACTGCCAAGTACATTTTTGAAAGCAGATTCGTATGCTTGTCTGTTTTAATTTGAAGATTTGCTCTGTGTATTTATATAACATGTAAAATAAAATGTTTCATTGCTACCAGATACATTTTGGAAAACGAACTCCTTTTTGTCTCTGTTCTTTGGGTGAATACTTCTGAATTGGCTCAACTTTTTAATAAATTGTTAGGGATAGTATTATCTTATTCAATGTGCCCATATAAAAAATTTATTAGCTACTGACAGGCAAAATAAATTCATATATTTTGCAATCAAGTATTTCGTTATTTACTATTTACCATTTAAAATAAACAGAGATTGTTAGTCATAATTTAATTTGGTAGATTATTATTTATCATACCCTGCTTTTCAAATACTGAAATGTATTAGTGATAGGTAATGCAGTATTATTGCCAATGTAGCCAAACAACTATGATTTATTCAATGTACTGGAATATAAATGAGATTTTACCTGTGCACATATGCTTTTTCAACTAGGAAAGTTTTGATGAAATAACAAGAGACTATACAGAGGAAGGAATAATCAATTCAGCTATTTAAAAAGAAAATCAATGATTGCAGGAAGCCAAAACAACTAGCAAGCAGCCTCAGATTGAAGAAATCATTTTAACAACTATTTATTGACTGACAATTAGCAAATAAGTTAAATAGAATCACATCCCAGTCGTTCAATCAAATTGCTTTTATCCAGCTGTAGTTGTCACTACATACTCAACTTCTTCTTTCCCTATAGAAGCTTTTCTTTTCATGTTTTTTTTTTTGGGGGGGGGGGTATCTTAATTGATGCCTTCCATTTTATTTGATGAAATAGAAAAGAAATACAAATAAAGGTTCAAAAGAGAACATAACCAT